CCAAGCACAAAATTTGTAAGTCTACGACTGTACCTCATGGTGTCTCACTAATTAAAAAAAAAAAAAACAATTTCCTTCCTCCCCACCCCAATCCCGACCCCACAGGATACTGGACTATTATGAAGGTGAGTTTGTGGGGCCAGGATGATGTCGGAGCTGAGATCAGGGCAGAAACTGGGGAATCGAGTTGATTCAAGTAGTGGTTCCAACATGGGAGCTCGTGGTGCCCAAGAGTCTATTCTTAGCTTCCCTGTAGCTATTTGGTGGAGCAACGGCCTGGGAGGCAAGCAGGTCCTACCCATCTGTAATGTTAGTGTCAGGGACTAGAGCAACAGTACGGTGGGCAGAGCGTTTGCCTTGTATGTGGCCGACCCGGGTTAGATTCCCAGCACCCCATAGGGTCCCCCAAGCACCATCAGGAGTAATTCCTGAGTGCAGAGCCAGAAATAACCCCTGTGACTCAAAAGGGGAAAAAAATGTTAGTGTCAGATGGAATTGTGTTCTTTTGGGGCCACACCCGGTGATGCTCAAACTGACCCCTGGCTTTATGCTCAGGCATCACTGAACCCCTGGAAGGGGCAGGGGGACCATTTATGCATCTGGGAATTGAACTCAGGTCAGCAAAGTCAGGACAGCACCAAATCCCATCTGTGATATTTTGCCTGGTCCTTGAAAAAAGAATAATATATTCAGGGGTCAGAGCGATAGGACAACAGGTAGAGTATTTGCCTTGCATGCAGATGACCAGGTTCAATCCCTAGCATCTCATATGGTCCACTGAGGACCACCAGGAGTAATTCCTGAGTGCAGAGGTAGGAGAAACCCCTGGGCATTACCAGGTTCCCCCCCCACACACAAACCCCTCAAAAAATAAAGGATAATATAACCAATGTTCTTCTTTTCTAAGAAAAAAATTGGTTCCTTTAATCAAGTGTGACCTTTCTACAACGCTAATAATTGTTTTATGAAAAGGAAGATATTTTTATTTATCCCCTGTAGTCTTAAAGTTGTTTTAAAAGTGGAAAATCTTTGCTCATGGTCTTAATTGTATTGTTGTTGTTTTTATCTGTTCTGGAAATCTACAAGTCTAGAAACTACCACATCATCATTTCTCATTTTCTGGCTGCTGTAGAGAAAACTCGAAGTAGGAGCGTGAGGGATTCAAGGCGCACCCCAGTTTTATCAGGACTGATGCGTGTTACACGCAGGACATGCGTCCATCTGTCCCTTTTCTGAAAATTGCCCTGGATTGTCCTTAAATGGGTTTATTCCATACCGGCATCTCCAAAGAAAATGGAATCAACAGTGGGAGAGTGCTTGCCTTGCATGTGACTGACCTGAGTTCGGTCCCCAGCATCCCATATGGTCTCCTGAGCACTGCCAGGAGTGAGTCCTGAGTGCACAGTCAAGAGGAACCCCCGAACATCATCAGGTGTGGTGCAAAAACAAACAAACAAAAATCCTGGCTAAGAAAGATAGGAGAGAGGGTAAGGTGCTTGACTTCCATGTGGTCAACCCAACTCTGATCCTTGGAATAGTATGTAAAATATAAAGAAAAATGTCTTTTTAAAAAGTCATCCCTAATCATTAATGTTCTGCCTTTTGTTTGATGACTGGGAGTGTATCCCCAGCACTCCAACGGGTCACTCGTGAGCAAGATATTCTGGAATAGCCCCAGACACTTGGGTGTGGTCCCAAATACCTCTCCCCGAAACAAAAGAACGACATAGATTCTATCCAGGACTTTTGAAAGATGATCTGAACTCTAGTCCATTCTTCCAAGCAGCCTGAAATCATTGGCATTCTGACACGCTTCCTCCGCCCACCACTATTTTCTATGCCTCCGTACCAGATCATTAAGCTGCACCCAAGCTTTCTCTCTCCACAAAACACAACTGGCTGTGGATAAGTTACTGGAGGCTGATATTGTTTCAGGCCAGTAATTACAGCGTCCATTGCCTCTCCCATTCCCTGTGAAGCTGTTCGCACGGTCTCCACTTCACGATGAACATGTTGCGGACAACAGGTTTTATCTTCCTTCTAGTACCCTGAGTGCTCCGCTTGCAGTAGGCACTCAAATTCGATCAGGAAAATGTGATCACTTTCTCCGTACAAGGAGCACTTTAATAAGCCCCCAAATATAGAAACGTCATCGGGGTCTCCTTGGTTTTACGAATGACAGTCAGGAACTAGGGGCCTGGAATTGCATGGGAACGAGGAAGCAGCCCTTGGAAACCCTTTAGTCCCGAGGCTCTGGTTCCATTTGATTTCTGAAGGGCAAGGGAAGAAAGTGACACAGAATGAAAGCAAAGGACAAAGTGGAGAATCCCCAAGTGAGGAGAGAGACAAGTTCTGGAAAACTCCACAGAAGGCCAGCTTCCCCCCCACCCCCCCGCCCCGCCCCTACCTCATTCCAGGTGACAGCCTGTGAAGCAGGGAAAGAGTGGTCGGCCCTCACAGTGCAGCTTCCACCTCACCCTGAGGAGACAAGACACTGGTTCTGGCTTCATCACTCCCTGGGTCCCCTTTGTGGCTCTCTGCTCTGGCCTCCTGTGGCCCTTCCCATGCTCCCTTTCAACTGCCCTCATCTGTGGCCTTTGCTCTTGCCCCATTCGGCTGCTTCCACATTTGCAAACAGTTTTCTCCCATGACAGGAATGGGCCAAGAGTTGCTCAATAAAAATGTTGCCCCCCCCGGCCCTACAGACGTTGGGGTTTTTGGGTTCCATCTGGCTGGCTCTGCACTTAGGAATTACTCCTGCTGGGCTCAGGGGACCATAAAGAATGCCAGGAAGGGGGAGGGGCAGAAGAAGATCAGAACCCTAGTCAGCTGCATGCCAAGCAAGCTCCTGACCCACTGTGGCTCCTCCTCCTCCCGGCCTTCTGTATCTTTTTGAGGAACTCTGCACCCTTTCCCATCCCCGGCAGCTGTGCACAGGGGCCGTTTCTCCAGACCTGCTTGGACTCCTGTGGCTCCAGCTGACCCTCTGTCCCCAGGCCCACCACCGACCAGTGGGAAACACTACACCACTAGGCCACCGTGATGGTGATGGGTGCGTCTGTACTGAGCTTGTACAGAAATTTTCTTTTCCTCCCCTGCGACATCTGGATATGCTCAGAAGTTACTCAAAGATGTGGGGTGCTGAGGATCAAACCTGGTTGGGTGCTGCAAGGCAACACCGACCCGCTATGCTACAGCTCTGGCCAAACTTTGTATGCCCTGGGCCGTGTTTTTACTTTCCTGATGGCACCGCAGGAACTGACAACGTTTTGAGGATGACCACCTGAACTAGCCTGGTTTTGGTCTCTGTGCCACTGTCCTCAGCAACTGCGAAACTGACTCTGTTCTTTAGGAACTTTCAAAGCTGAATTTATCGTGGATCTGGGCCACAATCAGTGGAGTTCAGGGCTTACTCCTGGCTATGAGCTCAGGGATCACTCTTGGCAGGGCGCGAGGCATCATATGTTGTGTTGGGGATTGAACCCGGGTCAGTTGGACACAAGGCAAGTGCAAGCGGCGTTACTACTCATTATACTGTTGCTGCAGTCCTGTCACCTCAGTTTTTTCATGCCACTTCACACTCTGAGCTCACTCGTGCATGTGTCTTAAAGGGTCCACCTCTGATCTTTGGCATGGGGGCCTCTGGCAAGCCCAGCATTGTCTGTTCAAGAGATCCTGAGCATTTGGGCCCTACATGTACAATGTGAGCTGCGGATGGCCAGACCCGGCCCCTTCCCTGCCATGACTGTCTCTCCTGTCGCCAGTGACTCACTCACTGGTTGGGTTTGATCCCCAGCACCACACAAATCCAGAGAGGGACAGGGCAGGTGTCTCCAGTTGGCGAGAAAGGGAAGTGAAGACACACATCATCAGAGGAGCCTCCGGAGAGCTCATCCCACTACACACAGCTGCAGGAGGAGAAAACCAGTCCTGGCACCTCAGGACTTCCTGGCATCTCTGAGGAGTCCAGTCTCAAGGAGGGGGATCTGGGAGGCACCTTAAGGAGCCTGAAGGAATGAGACTCAAAGAAGCGGCACAGAGATGATGGGTTCTCCTTGGGTCCGTATCCACAGCTGTGAAATAACCACCTCTCTGCTGTCCGGTCAAGAGAATGTGGAGGGAATGTGCACCTACCACGCATGGGACAAGTGTGTGTGCTGCTCTGATGTCACAGTTCCTTGGGTCCAGGAGTGTCCCAAATGGTCAAAATTCAGTGATCGGGCACGCGCAGAAAGAAGAAACAAATTCGATGGCTCCTGTACCCACCCTGGCAGTAGCCTCCCCAGGACTCCTTATCCACTCCCCTAACTACAAGACTCATCGCCAAGTGCTCCCGAGTGGGTGGTTGTTGGGGCTGAGCAGCAAACAGTCCTAGCTGGGGGAGCACAGGGTGACAGGCCTTAACATGTGCCAGGAAAACTCACACAGCATTCTGCGACCACACGGTGGCACTCTCCACTTTCCCAGGCCAGCACCAGGAAGGAAGGGCTGGTTCCCGCCCCTGCAGTGGAGGGAGTGACTGAGGCACCAGCACTCACCTTCAGGGACTTGGCTGATGCATACCAGGCGGGTGGCCAGCCCAGGGAATCCAACCCCAGTGCCAGACACACAAACCCCAGGACCATCCAGGGGAAGAGAAGGTGAGGAGAAACCCTGGCCACGCAGCAGGGGCGGCCCCTCACACTAGCTCACCACTGAATCCCCCCCAGGGGGGCGCAGTTCAGACACCCCCCTTAAGTGCCATGTCCCCCAAGCTACTGACCACCGAGCGCCCAAAGTGCCAGGCTACGCGCCCGCGTCTACATTTGGCTACTGCGGGCGGTGAGGGCACTTGGCAGGGGACCACACGGGGAGCCTCCCTTCCTCCCATCCCATCCATTCCTCGCGGACCTCATCCCCACCTCTGGGAAGGATTCTAGTCATGCATTTCCTGCCAACAGCCTTAATTGGTTACATGATCGATGAACTCTCGTGTTAATTTGAAAGCCCATCACTGCTCTTATGCATGTATGTATTTAACATACGAAAAAGAAGAATTTTACAGCAACTGCCAAGAGGCTCTTCAGACAATAAAATGTCCAGGTGGTATGAAGCAGGAGGTGTTCACTGTAGGGCCTCTAACACCACGGCTGCCTGTGATGACTTCTTTTGTTACTCATCCGTTTGATCTGAAATCTCCGGGGATGACAGGATCTCCTGGGATCTGAAGATCTGCTGCACATGAGGGGTCTGCAGAGTCTTGACGGACTGTCGTGCTGCGACGGGCTGTGAAGACCCGATGGAGTGTGGTGACTCTGCGTTCTGTGGTTCTAGGGAGCCATGTGGAGGCTCGCTGGTCTGTCGTGCCAGGGGGACAATTGGTGGTGGGGGGCGCTGTGGTGCCTGTGTCCCCTGTGCTCCCTGGGTCTTGGGAGTCTTGGCTGTCTTGGTCTCCTTGGCTGTCTTGGTCTCCTTGGCTGCTTTCTCCTCAGGAGTCCGTGCTGCTGTCTTCATGACTTCCCTGGGCTCCCTGGAACAAGAAGAATACAGTCAGCTCTTGAAAGGGACGTGCCCCGTCTTCATCACTTCCTGACTTCAGGAAGGTATTGGAGCTGTTGCCATGGTTTACCCTGCGTCTTTATTGAAAATCTCATCCTCGTCAGAGGAATCCTTGTCATGGAGCTTCTGTGCCATGTTTTTTTACGTGTGGCCTTGAGTGGCTGATACATGTCTCTCAGCCACAGGGGCCGTCTTCGCCAGAAAAAGCCCTTCTGGAAAAGGCAAGGGGAGCGCATAAGCCTGCACCCCGGCCCACTCTTGTCCTGCCTAAGTGCCGCCTCCCCCCAGTGGTTACCTGACTCTCGTGTTCCACTGAACTTCTATGCAGCAATAATCCAAAGAAGGTCCTTGGAGGAAAACACGGACGCACATGATTCATAACCCACCCCATTTCCCATCCTTCCTAGGATGGAGGTCTCTGGTCTTGTTTGGAAACTACCTTGGTCTGGAACCATGAGGAGTCAAACCACTAGGACCTGACACCTTGACAGAGTTTCCATGCATGCCTGTGGCAATTTTTAGAAATTTGTCGGGTCCATTCAAAGGGACCCCGTAGACTCTTGAGAGACCTTTATAGGTACCTGGCTTGGAAAACAGGCAGGATATTTATTTCTGGTTACCACCGTTGCCCCAGCAAATGCCCTGTGCAATGAACAAACTACCCACCACACCGAAAGCATTAGAGTCTGTCCAGAAGCTTTTCAACTGGTCGCCTCTGGATTTAGTCCCTCAGGCACCCTTTACCGGAAGTTGGGGCTGGGGGGATGATTCTATCGTCCTAGCTGCTTCATCCCAGATGCTGAACCAGAGTAAATGCCTGTGTGCAATTAGCCAAATCCTTTAGCTCACTAGTTTTCATGCTGCAGACAATTGCCCGTGAGCAAAGAAGCCACAGGTATCAGCATCAAAGGCAGGAACCGCACCGAGGCACGGAGATGAGTTTTGAGAGTGAAGAGAGGAGAGAGCAGTCTTGCACTTTACGGGCAGTGTTATCATGTGTACAGAGCCCGTGGGTGCTGAGTGGAGGCAAGAAACGCAGCTCCCAAGTCAATGGAGAGGTCCCAAGGGACAGGGACCATGCTCTTTCCCAATCACCAGCAGTGTGTTCCTAAGGGCAAGGTAGTTTCCATTCTCCCTCTATTCCTTTTAATAAGAGACAGAGACAGAGGTTGGGGATGTGGCTCAGTGGTAAAGTATTTGGCTTGCATGTGTGAGGCCCTGGGTTCAATTCCTGGCACCACACTGAGCACTGAGGCTGGAGTAGTCTCGAGCTAGTTAAAAGGGCCTTTTGGACATGAGGCTCCAACTCTGGCCTCTGGCTCCGTATGTCCTCCCTGAGCACAGGTGGGCTGGCATAGGTAACAGCCACCCCACAGGAGGGACTGAGCAGCCCGGCCTTGCAGAGCCCTAAGACACTAACACTGAACTCAGGAGGCCCAGGTCACGGGCCAAGAAGCACACAGAAGGGCTCCAGGGTCCCCAAGAACCAGGGGGAGGACACTCCAGTGCAAGTGAAAGATTGTCAGACTAATATTTACCTGGATCTTCCATCTTTACTCTGTCTTGCTCTACAAGAATAAATCTGTTTTGGAAAAAAAATATGATCATGATTATCTCGGTGACCGATCTCTCTAAAACCTTATTAATTCCATCGACTTTGCTGTATCTACCCACTGATATCACTTTTTGAGAACAGGAATTCTCTCCTGTTTAATAGTCCCTGGACTCTCCTACAGCACATGACTGAAGGGGCACGTTAGGAATACAGCTTAGTGACTGTTTCAGAGAAATTCAGCGCATTAATCCAAATTAAAAACTATGAGGTAGGAAATTAAAAGTATCTGCCAAAACCCAAACACAGAAACATCCTTTTTCACAACGTTTTCTAAACAATGTCAAGAACCAGTCTGATGCCTTTCCCATCACCACTCTGCATCCCCAGTGAGGAGTCCTCATCAATGCAGCAAGCAGAGTCGAGTCTTACAGGAGACAAAACTTGGTTGCATTTGCAATGATTCTTACCCAAAAAAACCCAAAACAATAAAGGTCCTATGAGATATGTTATTCCTCGGGCTACAGATATCATACGGTGGGTGGGGCATTTGCATTGACTGTGGCTGACGCAGATTCGATCCCAGGACTCCAGATGGTTCCCTGAGCCCCACCTGGAGTGATGCCTGAGAGCAGAGCCAGGAATAAGCCCTGAGCACAGATGGCTGTTGCCCCAAATAAATAACTAAATCAATATGTCAACTCTTTGAGCGACTTAGACTGAAATTTCAATACCTGAAGCATTTCCGTGCTTTTGTCCTTAAGGAGATAAAACAGAACAGTGCAATAAGGAGCACGGGCTGCTCTGCAGGTGACCCCCATGTTTGAAAGCGGGATGATAGGGCTGGGGAGGTAGCTCAGTGGGAGAATGCCTGCCTTGCATGCAGGAGACATGGGGTCGGTACCCAGCACGACAAGAAGAGCAAAATTGGAGGGATGCTAATGCCGTCCTTAGAGGATTGCGAGGATTAAACCAGACAACATACAGGAAATTCCTTGTACTGTGGTTGGCATAAATCAGAGCTGTGTTTGCTGATGACGTCACAAAGGAGCGGCTTAAACATACCAAAGACTGAGAGAGCTCTTCCTCAGTCAGCACCATGGCTTCTAATTTATTCTAATTCTTTGTTGGTGGTTGTGGTGCTGCCAGGGATTGAACCCAGGGCCTCACACATGCAAGACAAGTGCAACATCACTAACCTATATCCCGAACCCCTTCCATCCCATGTTGCTGTTGTTCATTTTTTGAGGCTCTTCCTGCCAGCTGGTGCTTGCGGGGCCTACTTCTGGGGTGGTGCTCAGGGACCATGGAGCACTGTGGCTAGCATCTGGGGTTCCCACGTGCAAAGTGAATTGAAGTTTGAGTCTTTGGACTTATCTCCCTGGCCCTTAAATCACTTTTTTAATGTGCCTGCTGGGAAAAGTCAGTGGTGTGTCATTGAACAGAAGACAGATATAGGCAAGCTCCTGGAGTAACTACCGCACGCTGCCAGGCTTGAGAGTAGCCCAGCTCGGGCTCAGGCTGCAGTGCGGGTGTGTTTGGTTTGGGAGCCACCCAGTAATAGGCAGGAACAACTTGATTTGCTGTTTAGGGGTAGCTCCTGGTGGCTCTTGGGGGGGCAGGGAGGGCATGCATTGCCGAGGATGGAACCCAGGTCTCCCTCACGCAAAGCGTGAAAAGTAGCCCTCGGAGCTCTCTCCCAAGTCTTAGCTGCAGTGTTTTAACTTCATCCAGGGAGATGGTGCTTAAACCTAATGAGAGCTACTGCACTGGATCAGGTCCTAGGAGGGTGGAGATTCTACACTTTTGATCCTTCCAGTCAACAAGGAAAGTAATCAGTAGAAGAATGTCAGTGAGTGTTAAGTTAAACCACTGACATCCTTTTGATTTAAAAAGGGGGAAAAAAAGTCTATATGGTGACCAGAGAGAGAGCTGAATGGTCAGAGTGCATGCTTTGCATGCAGAAGGGCCAGGCTGGATCCCTAGTTCTGCAAGGTCCCCTGAGCACCACCAGAAGTGACACCCCCTCTCCCCTCTGCACTGAGGTGGGGGCAGGCCCTGAACAAACAGGATGTAGTCCCCAAACAGCGCACAGGAAGACTACTTTTTGTTTCATCTCTAGCCTTCTTAACTTTTCAAAATTTTCGAAAGCTTGTTATTTGGGTTCATTTCCACAGGGACCTCTTGGGAGTCAGTTCCCTTCAACAAACCCTGGGATTATCTTTGCAATATGAGAAGCAACCACACCTCATTACTCAAGACTGAAGAGGAAAATCAAGCATCAGTAGGAGGAAAAGGGGCTTTTATTTTCCATTTGAACCCCCTGAATCTATTATCATGACATTAAATCCTGGAAATCTGAATGAACTGTTCTTACCTCAATGAGACATAAAATTAAAACCAATATTATCACGACGACAGCCACATTTATCGCAACGACTGCTTTTTGATTGTGGTACACAACATATCCTGGAACTTTTATGAGCTGAAAAATAAAAATTATTTTCATGCATTACTTTTGGAGGGGCCACATTCAGTGATGATGAGGGGCTACTCTGGCTCTGCACTCGGAAATCACTCCTGGCTGACCAAAAGGGACGCTGGGCATAGAATTCGGGTTGGTGGCATGCAAAGTAAGTGCTTCACCCACTGTACTATCGCTTCAACACCCAGGAACAATTAAACAAAATGATGGGAAGGATTTTTAAGCGCGTTCTAAAGAATGGTTATTCTACTAATCTAAAACCCCATCCTCTGAAAGGAGTGGACTATAGGTTTTTATTTTGTATGTGGTTTTATTTTGGGGTGGTTTGTTTTTCAGCCCATATCCGGGGTCCTCAGAGCTACTTCTCGCTCAGTACTCAGGGGGACTCTTTTTGAACTATCTCCTTGGCCCCAATATGTTCTTTTTTTCTTTTTTTTCAAATGTAGGAGTACTGCTATTTATTCAGTCACTGATTAGCTGATTAAATTGGGCATGAACTAGGCCCCAATATGTTCTTAAAGAGCACACCAGATCTATTATGCCATCTTGTCTGTAGCCTTTCCTTCTACAATTTATTTATCTGGTGTGTTAGGTCCTCTTCTTGCCTCTCCTAGGAACAGTGCTACCTTTCTACAAACGAGCACAGGGACAATCATTCTTGTAGTCAAAGTTGTGTGGCCACAAAAAAGCGAGCGAGCCAGCAGGAGAGGGAGAGCCAAGACACCCTGGTCTTCTTGCTTGTGTTCTTTCATGGCATGGCCTGAGAGCCCGGAAGCCCCTGAGCCTGGTCACCGTGAGATTCAGTTACAAAGCTTTCCTGATCGTGATCCAGGTTCAGTCAGACAATGCTCCAACACCCATCCCTCCACCAGTGTACATTACCCACCAACAAAATCCCCGCATTCCTCCTGCCACCTCCTCCCCGCCCCCAGCCTACCTCTGCCTTTATGGCAGGAACTTTTCTTCTCTCTCTCTCTCTCTCGCTCTCTCTCTCTCCTTCCCTCCCTTTCTCTTCCCACCCCCCTCTTTTCCCCTTTCTTCCCTCCCCCCCCTCTTACTCTCTCCGCTCACTCCATGCCCCCCTTTTGGGCGTTATGGTTTGCAGTGCAGATACTGAGAGCTCATCATGTTTGATCCTTGACCCACTTCAGCACACATCTCCCACCCAGAGCTATCCCTTCCAACTATCATTGTTGCAGTGATCCCTTCTCTATCCCAGCTGCCTTCTCTGCCAGCCCTTGAGGCAGGCTTCCAACCGTGGACCATTCATCCTGGCCATTGTTTCTAACTGTCCTTGGGTGTTAATCTCATAGTAATTTTTAGTGATTTTTACGTCCCATAAATGAGTGCAATCATTCTATGTCTGTCCTTCTGGCTTATTTCACTCTGCATGAGACTCCGTTAAAAAAACAAAAGTCTGTCCTCACCTCACTTGCCTCCTGCTGTTTCTGATCACCCTGGCCTTCGGTATTCTCACTGATGTAGTTCTCAGCCTCCCACTGGTCCGTATCCCATTTTTCACTGGACACCTTTACGTCCTGCCGCTCACTAAGAAGCTTCATCAGGAGCCCGGTTTTGTGGACCACCTTGGCACACTCCAGTTGCACCCGGGGATCGGAGCAGTCCATTTTCAGAGTCCGAATTACTTGGGCAATGAACTTCCTCACATTACTGTTGGGGATAAGGGGCCGCAACTTCTGGATGAGCTGCATCTCAAGTTCGTCTCTGGGGTCGGGTTTCTGTGGGGGGGAGTCGATGTCGGTGGCCACCTTGTGATATTCCCACTGCATCTCGTTGGGCTGTCTGACAGCCGGCATGAGGCTGTCCTCCATCCCCTCTTCCTCCTCAGGGGCAGTGCTTTGGATACCGGCAGTTTTCTCTGGCGGCACGATGCTTCTGGCATCCCCCCCGTTTGGAGCACGCGTGCTCTCCGCGGTCTTCTTTTCCCGGCTGGAGCGCAATGAAAGGAATGGCTCCGTGACAGGTTTGTCCTGGTGTCTCCAGGACAGAGACCCCCCCCTCGGCGGGGAGTTGACGAGGCGCTTCACTGCACCGAAAGGAGGCCTCCTGGCCAGCACCGGCCTCTGCGGTGCTGCTTCTTTTGTCGCTGTGTTCACTCTGGCCTGGGGTATTCTGCGGCCCAGCTGAGAGTCAAGTTTACGAAACTGGTAGTTCTTCCCGGTGTGTGACATGGGGCTGGGAACCTTCATGTTCCGAACTCGAGCGCCCGCATCCTCTAAGACGCGTAGAGTTCTTTTCAGGTCTTTGGATGGGATTTCGTCCTCCAGTGGCACTTGGAAAGCAGCGGCGGCAGACGGGCTGCCCATGGAGTGCTGTTCCAGGGGCACGGAGGCCGGCGCCCTGTGCTCCTGGATGAAGGATGACTCCTCGTTGAAGGAGCTTTCCACCAATTTCCTGGGCCTCCCTGCCAAGATAAAGTCTTTCTGTCTTTCCGGGGCCAGCTGCCTGTGCCGTCTTTCTTGGGCAATGTTCCCCGCCATGGACCAAGCCTTCCCTCGCCTCTGGCTGAGGGGAGTGCCCTCTTCTTTGAAGTAACTCTTCTGCAGGCCCCCGGGATCCTTGAGCACGCTGCTCCCTTGCAGTGGTTGCGTCTCCCACTCCTGAACATTTCCTAAGTGTTTTTTCTTTGGTGGCCCGACAGTTTCCAATTTCTTTGGAAAAAAATGGCGTTTAAATTTGGGCCCGAAAAGACTGGAATGGACCTGCGTGGCAGTTTTCTCCTTCTTTCTAACTTTGTGGACTTTTTCTTGAATTTCTGTGTTGATTAGACTTTGGAGAACATGGATTTTTTTCACCTTATTGTAGATTTCACTGTTGGATTCGGGCTGTATAGAAATCCAAGCCGTGCTGGTTTTCGAAGGAGCCAGAGGATTTCCTCCATCTTGCACATCTTTAAAAAGAAACTTAATGAAGGATAACAATGTTGGTTCTGCATCTATGTCCCCAACCTGTAACAAAGACATTATGGAATCTAGTCTAGTAAGCATATCACGCTGATGACTATTGTCTAGCTGTTCATGATGGAAAAAGGACAGGCTGTTTCTCTCGGATGAGGCCTTCTCTGGTTCAATCGTCAGCTCGGTGCTGGTACTCTTCTTTCGGGCCTGTAAAGCCTTCATGAATTCCCCGTCCATATTACTGACGTATTGTTCTTCACCTGTCAAAAAGGAAGAGCTTGCTTTTGATCATGAAAGATAACTGGGGATAATTTTGGGAGCATCTACAGACATAAGTTCCAGGTAAGTAAACTAGTAATCAGTGAACAAGTGCCGTATGGTGTGTGGGGGGGTGGGGGGGGCACAGGAAACCCTAAATTTACACCTGTGATTGGCAAAAACAAAAGGAGAAACAAAGTGATCATCGCTATTTATTCAGAATAAATAGGGCATGGAGTTCAGTACATGTATTTAGGATTATTCAACTGGGGGGCAGAGTGACAGTAGAGCAGATAAAGGCCTCGTCTTGTAGGCAGCCAACCTGGGTCTTATCCCCAGCACCCCATACGCTCCCTCAAGCCTTACCAGTTCTGACCCCAGAACACAAAGTTAGGAGTAAACTTTGAGCACTTCTGAGGATGCTGCCAAACAAGCAAACACACAAACAATAATCATAAGATTATTCCACTGATCTCCAAGGACCAAGTACCCAGTCTTCAGGACAAATATTTGCTGCTCAGTTAGACTCTTTACAGATCAACTATGATTTTTCTTTTTTTTAATTTTTATTAGTCAAACACCATGAGGTACCGTTTTAGATTTACAAATTTTTGTGCTTGGGTTTCAGTTATACAATGATTGGGTACCCATCCCTCAACCAGTGCCCATTCTCCACCACCAATGATCCCAGTATACCTCCCAAGCCCCCTCCCCTCCTCCCATCCCACCCCGCCTCTGTGGCAGGGCATTCCGTTTGGTTCTCTCTCTCTCTTTTGGGGTGCTGTGGTTTGCAAAAGAGGAACTGAGTGGCAATCATGTTCGGTCTATAGTCTACTTTCAGCATGCATCTCCCATCCTGGGAGGATCCTCCCAACACTCTTGACTTGCTGCTCCCTTCTCTATCTGGGCTGCCTTTTCCCCTAGCATATGTGGCTGGCCTCCAAGCCATGGAGCAAACCTCCTGGTACTTATCTCAACTATTCTTGGGTGACGGTCTCCCATTTTGTTACTTTATATTTCACAGACGAATGCAATCTTTCTATGTCCCTCTTTCTGACTGATTTAACTTAGCATGATATTTTCGATGTAGTACCACTTATATGTAAATTTCATCACTTCATCTTTTCTAACAACTGCATAGTACTCCATTGTGTAGATGTACCAAAGTTTTTTTTTTTTTTTTCCCCTTTATTTTATTTTATTTTTTTAAAGTTGTAGATTTACAATTTTTTGTGCTTTGGTTTCAATTATACAATGATCAGATACCCATCCCTCCACCAGTGCCCATTTTCCACCACCATGGACAATATCCCTCCCACCCCCATCCCCCCATCCCCCCGTCTCTGTGGCAGGGCAATCCCCTGTGTTCTCTCTCTCCTTTTGGGTGTTGTGGTCTGCAAAAGAGGCATTGAGTGGCAAACATGTTCAGTCCATAGTCTACTTTCGACATGCATCTCCCCTCCTGGGAGGATCCTCCAAACATCCTTTATTTGGTGCTCCCTTCTCTATCTGAATAGCCCTTTCCTCTAGGATACCCGGCTGGCCTCTAAGTTATGGAGAAATCCTCCTGGTGCTGATCTCAGCTATTCTTGGATATTAATCTCATACTTTGTTACTTTATATCCCCCAGATGAATGCAATCTTTCTATGTCTATCCCTCTCTTTCTGACTCATTTCGCTTAGCATGATACTTTCCATATTGTACCACTTGTATGTAAATTTCATGACTTCATCTTTTCTAAGAGCTACATAGTACTCCATTGTGTAGATGTACCAAAGTTTCTTTAACCAGTCATCTGTTCTTGGGCATTCAGGTTTCTTCCAGTTTCTGGCTATTGTAAAGAGGGCTGCAATGAACAAACAAGTGCAGATGTCACTTCGACTATACATTTTTGCCTCTCTGGGATATATTCCCAGGAGTGGTATTGCTGGGTCAAATGGGAGCTCAATTTCTAATTTTTTGAGAATCGTCCATACTGTTTTCCAGAAGGGCTGAACCAGTGGACATTCCCACCAACAGTGAAGGAGTGTCCCTTTCTCGCCACATCCACGCCAGCATCGGTTGCTTTTGTTCTTTTTGATGTGGGCCAGTCTCTGAGGTGTGAGATGGTATCTCATTGTGGTTTTGATCTGCATCTCCCTGATGATTAATGATGTAGAGCATTTTCTCATGTGCTTTTTTGCCATTCGGATTTCTTCTTTGAGAAAGTTTCTGTTCATTTCATTGCCCCATTTTTGGATGGGGTTGGATGTTTTCTTCTTGTGGAGTTTAACCAGTATTTTGTATATCCTGGATATCAACCCCTTGTCAGATGTGTATTCGGTGAATATCCTTTCCCATTCTGTAGACTGTCTTTGTATTTTGGTCACTGTTTCTTTGGAGGTGCAGAAGCTTCTTAGCTTAAGATAGTCCCATTTATCTATCTCTGTTTTCACTTGCTCGGCCAGTGGCGTGGCATCTTTGAAGATACCATTAGCTTCAATGTCATGGAGGGTTTTGCCAACTTTATCTTCAATGTACCTTATGGTTTCTGGTCTGATGTTGAGGTCTTTAATCCATTTTGATCTTACTTTTGTACATGGTGTTAGGCAGAGTTCTGAGCCTATTTTTTTGCATGTAGCCGTCCAGTGATGCCAACACAATTTATTAAAGAGGCTTTCCTTACTCCACTTCACATTACTTGCACCTTTATCAAAGATTAGATGAGCATATGATTGAGGAGAGATGTCAGTGTATTCAACCCTGTTCCATTGGTCTGCAGTTCTGCCTTTGTTCCAGTACCATGCTGTTTTAATTATTACTGCTTTGTAGTATAGTTTGAAGTTCGGGAGGTTGATTCCTCCCATTTTCTTTTTCCCAAGAATTGCTTTAGCTATTCGTGGGGGCTTATTGTTCCATATAAATTTCAAGAGTGTTTGCTCCATTTCTTTGAAGAATGTCATGGGTACCCTTATAGGGATTGCATTGAATTTATACAATGCTTTCGGTAGTATTGCCATTTTGACAATGTTAAGTCTCCCGACCCATGAGCAGGGGATATCTTTCCATTTCCTCATGTCCTCTTTTATTTCCTGAAGTAGCGTTTTGTAGTTTTCTTTGTACAGGTCCTTTACTTCCTTAGTTAAGCTGATTCCTAGGTACTTGATTTTCTGGGGCACAATTGTAAATGGGATTGTTTTTTTCATGTTGCTTTCTTCTCTCTCACTGTTTGCGTATAGGAAAGCCATGGACTTTTGGGTATTGATTTTATAACCTGCAACTTTACTATACGAGTCTATTGTTTCTAAGAGTTTTTTGGTGGAAGTTATTGGGTTCTCTAAGTAGAGTATCATATCATCTGCGAATAGTGAGAGCTTGATTTCTTCCTTTCCTACCTGAATGCCCTTAATATCTTTTTCCTGCCGAATCGCTATTGCAAGTACTTCCAGTACTATATTGAACAGCAGTGGAGAGAGTGGGCATCCCTGTCTCGTCCCTGATCTTAGAGGGAAGGCTCTCAGTTTTTCCCCATTGAGGATGATGCTTGCTGTAGGCTTGTGGTAGATGGCTTTAATTATGTTGAGGAAGGTCCCCTCTATACCCATTTTGGCTAGGGTTTTCATCATAAAGGGGTGCTGGATCTTATCAAATGCTTTCTCTGCATCTACTGATATGATCATATGCTTTTTATCTTTTCTTTTGTTGATATGGTGGATTATGTTGATTGATTTCCGAATGTTGAACCATCCTTGCATCCCTGGGATGAATCCTACTTGGTCATGGTGTATGATCTTTTTGATGAGTAGTTGGATTCTATTTGCTAGTAGTTTGTTGAGGATCTTTGCATCTGTGTTCATCAGGGATATCGGCCTGTAATTCTCTTTCTTTGTGGTATCTCTGTCTGCTTTTGGTATCAGTGTGATATTTGCTTCGTAGAAACTGTTTGGAAGTGTTTTTGATATTTCAATTTCGTGGAAAAGCTTAAAGAGCATTGGGAGTAAGTCCTCTTTAAAGATTTGGAAGAATTCACTAGTGAATCCATCCGGGCCAGGACTTTTGTGCTTGGGGAGACTTTTTATTACCATTTCAATTTCCTTGATGGTGATAGGTCTGTTCATACCAAAGTTTTTTTAACCAGTCATCTGTTCTCGGGCACTCAGGTTTTTTCTAGATTTTGGCTACTGTGGGCTGGAGCAATAGCATAGTGGGTAGGGTGTTTGCCTTACATGCGGCCCACCAGGCTGACCTGGGTTCAATTCCTCTGCCCCTCTTGGAGAGCCTGGCAAGCTACTGAGAGTGTCTCGGCTGCACAGCAAAGCCTGGCAAGCTACCTGTGACGTATTCATATGCCAAACACAGTAACAACAAGTCTTACAAATTGAGACGTTACTGGGCCTGCTCGAGCAAACTGATGAACAATGGGAGGACAGCGTTACAGTGCTACAGTGCTTGGCTACTGTGAACAGTGCAGCAATGAACATAGAAGTGCAGATGTCATTTGGACTGTAATTTTTTGCCTCTCCGGGATATATTCCCAGGAGTGGTATTCCTGGTGAAATATTGATGTTTCTATTGATATGATCATATGGTTTTTATCTTTACTTTTGTTGATATGATGGATTATGTTGACTGACTTCCAAATGGTAAACCATCCTTGCATCCCCTAGATGAATGCCACTTGGTCGTGGTGTATGATCTTTTTGATGAGTTGTTGGATTCTATTTGTTAATATTTTGTTGAGGATTTTCACAACCATGTTCATCAGAGATATTAGCCTGGAATTTTCTTTGTTAGTGGTGTCCTTGTTTGCTTTTGGTATTGGGAAGATAAGTGCCTCATAGAAGCTGTTTGTGAGAGTTCCTGTTTTTTTCAATTTCATGGAAAAGCTTGAGGAGAACTGGCAAAAGGTCTTCTTTAAATGTTGGGAAGAATTCGCTAGTGAATCCATCTGGGCCTGCGCTTTTGTTTTTGGGAAGACTTTTGATTTCGGTTTCATTTCCTTGATATGAATGAGTCTATTCA